GCCTCGGCGAATCCTCTCAAAGCCATGCGGTCCAGAGAAGTTCCGGCCACGGGCGCTTGATCACGACATTTCACGGCTATGGCTTGGCAGTAGACGCTGCGCATGGCATCTGATTCCTTTCCTCTCAGCATGCGTTCACATATGGGTTTCAATTCGTGCGCGTGGTGAGCCTGGAGATGTTGATTTAAATCTCCTTCTGTTCCATGAAGCTCTTCCCAGGCACACCCTGCAAAGGCGCAGAAGGCTGAAGGCCAGACCTCACCGGCATCCACTGTGTCCAAACTCTCTCTGGGTGGAAGGGTGGGATGTTCCCGGATCCGCTTCGTGGCCAGCTCCTGTAGACAAAGACTCACCCATGGAAAGATGGACGTGATTATATTCATAGTTTCATTTCTGGTTTTGTTATCGTCCATCCCTGTCCTTAATGAGTTCCTCCGCGCTTCTGTGTGGATGGTCGGATGCGATGGCTACCGGGATGCGCTCGAGCTCTTCCATCAAGCTCTCTTCTTGCACTTCCATGTCTGCTTCTGCCGGTTTCTTGGCTGTCTTTTCTGGCTTTTTGGTCTTCGGCTTCTTGGTCGGCCTTGGTGCGGTAAAGCTTTGTCGGCTTGGCTGTTGGGTCTCCTTGCTCAAAGGTGGAAAAGGATCTTCTGCAACATATCTTGGTGGAGGTGGTTGCTCCCAAGCGGGCTCCCGGCCGTCGATGTCATGGATTTCCACCAAGGCATCATAATGGTCGACGCCGTTGTATAGAATGTGGATGATTGGGTGGGCCTCATTCCCATACACAGATCCGTGGCTAAGCTCCTCCACGACGACCGTGCCAAGCGCCAGGTCGCGTCTGTGCACTGTGACCCTCTTGGTTGTCATTAGGCTCCACGCTGCGATTGCCGTGGCGCCGCCCCATCGGGAAGCCCGAAGCCGGCTTGCTTCCCGCACCCATTCTTCTTCAAATCCTTGTTGGTGATGGGCCTGCGCCTCCATGAAGTCGACCACATCTATGCGCAGGGCGCCTCCATCATACCCGTCCAAATGGGCCAGGGCATGGAATAGACAATCGCCATCGCCCTGCATCTTCACGACCTCCAACGTAGTCATGGCCACCTTGGATCGTGTCATGTCCCTTTCCCGTTGGGTTTCCATAGGGGTTGTCACGGCTGTTAAACAGAACTATCTTCTCTTCAACACGGTCGTGCGCCTGCGTTCCCTCCAGGTTCGCCGCGGATGCCATGGATACTGGTGGGTCCTGGCCCGCTTGCTTCGAAACAT